CTTTATTTCAACAAATTTTTGAATTCCAATTGGTTACCTACTATCTGTGTCTGATATATACACAGGCAAGTTAATTCCTACCCGACAGTAGAGTAACTTTTACATAGTATGCGAGGCTTGATTTTTGGATTTTTTAAATATGAGATGATTAAACATTTTTAGCAACGTTTGCATGCTAACTAAACCATTATCGTCATCTTTAAACTTTACTGAACAACGATCACTATTCAAATAAAAGTGCAGGTGCTTTGAATTTATTATCGCATGAGATGACATATAAACAATTCGATGCCTAGCTAGTTGCTATGAAATGCCAATTATTGCTGAAATACACGCGTCCCGCCCTAACACATTATCTATAAAAGTACAAAATAAAATAAATTGTTACTTGTGTGCTTGCTTCAGTATTTATATAGACCAAATCGAGCGATTTAAAAATCTAAAGCATATCATGATGCTAAAAAAAAACAGTCATATAGTTAAAATTCAAACTTGATTTTCCAAAAAAGTTGATTCCAAGAGAATTGGACCAAAACGAATAATAGCCTCGACTATATAAACAGAGGCTCAAAGCAATCATTATGTAAAGAAATAAAATAATTATCTAATATTTCATAGTTTCTTTATGGCTCTATTGTGCGTGAAAATGAAATCTATATGAATTTGCAATTCACATATGTGAAATTAAATTAATCGACCAAAAGGAATTCCACATCCAAACATCTTTCGTGTTTATTAAATTCAATTGCATTGCATACAACAATTCTAGATGTTCAAAAAGTCAATCAATTTCTTGAACCGGATCCAAATATTAAAGTAAATATTGTTTCCAATATTAGGTTTATAAAATAATAAAAAATTGCAATTAAATAAACAAATGTATACGTCTATAAATGTTTAATTGAAAATCTAACTAATTTCTGTACTAATACTAAATACTATTCATCATCATCATCGTTGTTGTTATTATTATTATATTATAAAAACATTTGATAATAATATCGATATGTACGCATGTAAACACCATTAGTATAACTTTTGCTTGTAGTCACAATAAATTAAAAGACGTTGAGAGATCTCAATTATTTCGTGGAGATCTTTCACCATCTTGTTGAGCTCATGAACACTAATTAACTTAATATTGTTATTGTTGTTGTAATTGTGGCTATTGATATTTATTAAATTCATACTTTCAACAATACCTTCAACATTATCATCGTCATCATTATTTTTTCGATTTGTACCAGAAAAATAGACCAGAGATTCAGATATGCGCTCTATTTCGCACCTTAACCGTCTGGAAATAATGTTTATTCCGATTTCTCTCCATTGCTGGCATGTAGCCATAACGGTCTTTACTATCTCCAACAAGTCAAGATACTCGAAAATAACTCCAAGTATCTCTAATGGTAAAATTTGGTTTTGATTTAACATCGTCAACGATTCTTCTTTTTGTTCTTCTTCAATTGGTGCTTTTGATACTTCTAGTTCTTTTGATTCTTTTTTCTTGGTTATATTGTTTTTCCTTGATTTACTGAGGCCCATTTGTAATTCCCTGGCTCTACGAATAGATTTAAGAGCTGTTTTTTCTTCTTGGATACGATGCTCCTTCAAAAAATTTAACAGGTCTTTGTCACCATAGAAACCTGGTCCGCGTCCAAAAAATATTGGATTTAATCTACATGTAAGTGGTTCAATATACCCAATGCATGGCCATATCTCATTGTTGGACATTCTTTAATAATAATAATATATGATATGGATATATACACATAAGTATATGTATAAATACACATGTATGGTATGTATATGTATGTACTAACCTAAGTCCAATTGAAGTTGCAAGAGCAAGATCCTCATCAACGATAAACGGATATGGATATTTATCGAAATTGCATTCTTGTCTTATCTTCTTGACCTCATCTAAAGGGCCAGGACAGATAATAATAAAATAGGCATCAGACCGAAGGAGCAATCGGTTAAACTATAAACATAATAGAAAACTTGATGAATAATTTTTTTTTATAATAGTATAATTTCATTCAAACTTACAGGTATGTTTTTTTGTGGCACTCTGGTTATAGAGTTGTCAAAAGGATCGAAAAAAGAAGGTTGTGGATCATCGTGTAGCCCCTGAAGGTTCAGGAGCAGTAGGAGTTTAGGGCAGACGGGACACCACGTCGCCTTTAAAATATCATATTATTAATTTTAAATATTATATGAAAATAAATAAATAATTTTTGTGAATAATGTGAATGAAAATAAATAAATAATTTTTGTGAATAATGTGAATGAAAACAATTTTTCATTACACACCTTCAGCGTGATTAAAATTAGAACGTGGTGACTCGAAAGCTCTTTAATATTAACGTTATTGCCATCTATGTCGACAACACGAAAAGGAAAGAAAAAATCGGTATTCATTGGTTTTTTTTTTTTTTTGAAAAAAAAAGTTTTCGAAATAAATAAATTGTTGTGTAACTTATCGTCTGATTGTCCTCATAATCAATAAAAATATATTTATTTGAACATATATATAATATATATATATATGTGCGTGTATGTATGTATGTATATACACATCTAAAAAAAAATTTTTCACATATACAAAAATTAAATAATAAATAAGTAATTTCAAAGTAATTCGATAATTTTCTTTACTAATTGTTGCATTTCTTTGGCTTTAGCTTTACCAGTTTCAAGAACTTCCTCGTGATTTACAATGAATTCATCATAGGCACCAACATTTTTTATTGAGGGATCAGCGCTTCTTACATCACTCATAGCCACTTTGTTGGTTACCAAACTCAATCCTAAAACTCTAAGACCACAATGCCTTGCAACAATCACTTCAGGCACAGTTGACATACCAACAACATCTCCTCCTATAAATTTTAAGAATTTTGCTTCTGCCCTTGTTTCATAAGTTGGACCACACACATAGCAATAGACCACTTCTTTTATTGATCCTTTAGAAAAATTTAATATGTTGGCAGCTTTGAATGCCTTTTCACGTAATTCATAGTCGTAAGCATCTGACATTGGAATAAATCTTGGGCCAATATTCAGATTAGGTCCAATTAAAGGATTAGTTCCTGTTAGTCCCGGTAATGAGATATGATCAATTATTACACCTATGTCTCCTACTTTAAATTTCTCACTATTGAGCGATCCTGTTGCATTCGTTACTAATTAGATTTAGAAAGAAAGAATGCACGTGAGAGAAAAGAATGGGAAAGAAAGAGTAAGTGAATTAGTTTTATATTAATATTTTTTATTTATTACTTAAATCATAAAAAATATATAATTAAATTAATATAAATATTTATTTCCTTACCAATTAAAGTTTCTACTCCAATCAATTTAAAAACTCTTATGGGGAAAGTGACTTGTTTCAAGTCATGGCCTTCATAAAAATGAAATCTACCAACCATACAAATCACTGGTATTTTCCCAATCAGCCCAAAAACCAATTTTCCTTCATGTCCAGCAACTATGTTTAACAAATTTATAAAACATTAACATAATATATATTTAATTAACTAATTAAATATAATTTTTTAATATTGATTGGTAATCACCTGTACTATTAACAAATCCTGGTATCTCTTCATATTTAAATTCAATTTTCGGGATTGCATCATCACCATCAAGTCTCTTTTTGCTCTTAGAATCATAGTCATTATTATTACTACCACTACTAATACTATCAGCTAAACCCCCAAGACCTGAGCCGCATATAATTGCAACTTTTGGCTTTGATAACTGAATTGGCAATTTTTGTAACAGATAATTTTTTGCAGAATTAAAAACTGCCATTGAAATATTATCAAATTCATTGCTATCTTGAGCTTCGTTGTTTTGTGGTGGTGGCATTATTATTTTATTACTATTGTTATGGTAGAGATAAAAGCTTCAACAAATTTTTGAATTCCA